CAAACCCCGCCCGCCCGGCCGAGTCTCAGGGCGGCCCCTTTCCCTCCGCCTCGGGCAGGAAAGCTCAGCGCCCGTCTCTCCGGGGGTCGCGCGGGCCGATGGCACTGCCCCTGGAACTGCTGGGGAATCTCGCTCGGCGTGTCCTTTCCGGAGCGCACGTGTGTGTGTTCGTGTCCTGGGCGAATGCGCGGGTCTATGCATGAGTGTGTGTTGCTGCTTCTGTGTGAGTTTCCCTGTCCCTCTCTGCTAGCGAGGTTTCGCCTGCGCTACACAGAGTGCGGACCCCTTCCTCATCCCAATCCCGTTTCTCAAGACGCACAAAGTTCTCTCCAAAACCAGGACGCGCAGGAACCGGACTTCCTCCCCCGCGTCTGCCCCACCACTCACCCAGCGTCACCTGCGCCGCTGCTCCCGCTGCGGCCGGGCTCCTGCTCCAGCGTGCCTACTTGCTCGCCGCGACAGAACTCTGACTCTCCAGCCCTCCCCGGCTCCGCGCTCCCGGCTCCCGGCTCTTGGCTCCCGCCAGGCCGGACCTGGAGGAGTGGGGCGGGGCGGGGCGGCTGAAGCCGCGCCCCCCCACCCAGAGAGGGGAGTGGTCTGCCCCGCACCCCGCGAACAGCCAACCTAGTACCAACCCAAAAGGAGCCTGACGGTGGTCTAAGCTCTGACCTTTTGACTGCACAGCGTACTGACTTTTGACCTAGGAGCAGAGCAGATATGACCGACGGCTAAGCTACCTGGTTGCCTTAACTAAGGGGCTATAAAGCTTGACTCTGTCACCCTCTCCTGCCCTGTAGAGAACTCAATCCGGCCCACTCTGCCCACAACCAGAGGGAAAATCCCTGTGAAGCAGACAAAGAACTCTCGAGTTTCATGCCCCCCCCCACACACACACACTTTCACATGTGAATGCACACTCTGGGGCTGTCCTAACAGGACTAGTACCGCCCCCTTCCCTGGGGTAGTTATCAACCTGGGCGAGAAAGCTGCTAGTCCTGCCCCCCCCCATAGGCCATGGCTAGGCTTCCCTATAAAGTCCCACCCACAGGCACAAACAGGAAGTTGGTCTGTGTTTCAGGGAGGTACTAAGGGCTCCCTTCCTCCCTGGCATACCAGGTACATTGCCTAAGTTTACATCTATCTGAGCCATACCCACTATCTGAGTGGTTCGACTGCAGGAGACCAAGGTGAGTTTGGTCTCATCTCAAATCCACCCACAGTAACAGCTACTGAAGACCTAAGGCTGCCTCCTCACAGCCATGTGTGACAGTGTTGGTCTGAACACAAGGATACATACTTAATTTACCCCTGCTGGGCCAGATCTTTCCATGTCTCTGGGACATTCTTAAGTTAGCTGAACATGGAATTGTCTCATCCCAGGTGATTTGCCTTAAGCCACTTTCTTTGAACACGTTCATGGCTCCTAGAGACTGTATGCAGGATATAGGGACTGACTGGCCTCTTCCGGCCTCCTAGGCTCCTCAACATACTTTGTGCTAGATCTTGCTGTGGGAAGTTTAAGGCAGGTATGGAGTGGAAGGTATTTGTGTAAGGGGTGTGTTAGTTTCCCCTCCTCATTCTGGTTTGTGCTGTGTGGGGGTGTCTGCTAGGAGGGTGGAGCAACACAAACAGGCAAACCTGTATCTATTTCTCTATGCTGATTGTACAGCCCTCATAAACTCCAAATTGGAAACTTGGGTTTTCTGAGACCGTATCAGGCATTTTAGGGAGAGTAGAATATGGAGTTCATGCCCTTCTAGGTAGAAATGGCCTTGTTCTCTACATCTGGAAGGCATGGCTGCCTTAAATATTTCAGACCCTGGATGAGGCCCCGAGCAGCCAACTGCTGGGAATGATTAGTGCAGGATTAGAGAGGCCTGGCTCCAGCCAGTCTGGGAGAGACCCCCAAGAAGGCAAACCCTGGAGGAGCTACCCCCACCCCTAGGCTCTTCCCCAACAACAACAGCTTACAAAAATTTGTTTCAGCTCTTTATGGCTAGAGTTCTCAGAAACCCTGGACTCTTCCCTCTGTCTCTAAAAGCTTGCTCTTGGGTTGCCGTGAAAAGGTTGCTCCTCTTCTAGGGAATAAAAACATGTCCCTGTTACCTGCAGCAGAGGCTTCCAGCACCCCCAATCTGAACATCTTGAAACTGGTACTTGAAAGCATCAGAGAAAGTTAGATAAAAAGGTCATTTAGCAATCTGCCTGGCAGTCTGTGGGTCATTTTTTTTTACAGTCTTCTGTAGTGCTTGTTAAACCCAGGCATTCACATCCCATCTCAGACTCCAGAGCTGCAAACATGTAAAGGCAGGGGGGAGAGAGAAGCCCCTAAACTCCCAGTTTCCAACAAATTCCCAGGACTTCTACCACATAGGAAGAAATGGGGGTTACCAAAAGGAAATGGATAAGGGTAGAGGATTAGAGATGAGAAACTGATGGGATTTTTGAGGAGCTGACAGGGTTTTGAGGAGCTCAGGCTATCCTTGAGTTGTGTAGCTTCCTGCCTCTACCTCCCAGGTGCAGGAATTAAAGGCATCCACCACCACACCCAGCTAGGGCTGACTCTTGAGTCTACACTGAGAAACATGAATGGCTCACCTCACAGGGGAAGAGGGACAGCTGGTCAGGCAAGGTCTGGGAATGTGACCCATTGACCCACACCTGTCAGGAGTTTTATGGAGTCTTCAGGTAAGGTAACACACCACCCTATCACCCCTTACGCCAAGGAAAGGTCTATCTTCAGGGCATGGGCTGTGAAGACCCTGTACTTCTCCCTGCTGTCTGATGGGCTGGAAGTGGGAAATGAAAGGCCAAAGTGAGGGAAAGGATCCATTTCTGAGAGGAAATCCAGTTAGCGTGGGGAGACATCTGGTGGACAAATAAGAAAAAGCACAGAAACAAAGGCAACGTTTCATTCAAACTGGAAAAGGCTCTAAAAGAGTCCTAACTCCAGCGTCAGAGGCAGCATAAAATGGAATCGGTATCCAGGGGGCAGGCACTGTGGGCTCACAGCTTCTTTCCAAGGTTCTATGGCGATGCAATACGGTGGAAGGAAGCTCCCACTTCTGAGGTCCTGAGAGTACCGGCATAAGCACCCAGGATCAGTTCCAACAGGTACAGCTACCTTACAAAGCCTGGCTCTACACAACAGAGAGCAGAGGCTTGGTGCCCCCGAATGCCTAAACTTGGGAGTTTCAGCAAGAAGCCTCCTGTTGTATGACAGTTCTGGGGCCTGCCCTCACTGTCTGTCTGACCTGCTCATTCCCACCTCAGGTTTTAGTCCTTCTTCAGACATTCACAAGGCCCACACTCCTAGTTCTCACATGCCTTTGTCCTTTTCAGACTGCTTAATGAAAACTAGTCCGTGAGCAGTCTCACACTGTTCACTTCGTTCCTTTCACCAAAATGCTGGTTCTTTGGAAACAGACCTTGTCTTTTCAGTGCTGTGTGTGTGCATATATATAAAAACTATAAAGAAAACCCAGCATTTACAGCTGCTGAATTCAATTTTCTCACCATGGAACCCAGCCCAAGGCTGGGAAGGTTCCCTATCTCAGAACTATATGGAAGAACAGCCCTAGCAGAAGGCCAAGGGTCTGTGTTAACCTGATCCGTCAAGCTCATTTTAGCAAGCAGCTATGCACAGCTTTCACCTTGAGGACTTGGAGGTATCTGGCTGGTAGGAGCTGGGGTCCCGGCTAAGCAAGTCTCAGAGTTCTGGTGCCCAGCAGCACCCTTTTTGCCAGAAGAGGACTTTTTGGCCACTAGTCCATTGTCATCCTTGATCTTCTTGAGGCGGGCTTTGCTCTTCGGTGGGATGGAGAAGGTAAGGGAACTCTTGTTGAACTCAAGTGGGAAGACACCTACATCTCCATCAAAGCGATTCTTGGACACCTGCAGATACCGCTTCCCCGGCCCAGTCACTAGCTTCCTATCCT